TTCGCCAATAACAAAAACCAAAAAAAAAAAAATAAGTTGAAAAAGAGGTGTTGGTTGCTTGGTTTTACCAAAAATCCGGCCCATGGCTAAAAGACTGCAAAGCAAGCAAGCAGGCAAAGTATTTGCGTCAGATCCAAAATATTAATTTCAAAAATCAACAACTCCAGACCAAAAGTTGTTTTTTCCAACAGCAAATTTAAAACCACGGAATATCAATATTCAGTATTTAATTTTCGAGAAGTGTTTTTTTTTCTTGGGGTTATGAAATGTAGTCTGTGAAGTTGTAATATGCACACGTACACACAATTTTCATACCATATTCGAATGAAAGGTGTGTTTGTAAATCTTGACTTTGAAAATAAAATTTTTCTAAAAAATCACTTTTTTTATTGCTTTAAAACAAACAGGTTTGTGTCCTTTGGTCCCAGAAAAAATTACAGATACCTTAAAAATATATTAAAAAATACCGCTCTTGGCCCATAGAAAAAAATCCTAAAAAAAATAATTTCAAGGGTCTAAAACAGTAAGGAAAAGTCAAAACTCGGGCGGGGCCGACTATATGATACCCTACACCACCATGCGTATTTAGTAGAGCTCCCATAACAATAGAATTTATTAGAAGTTGATCATACCACCTATCAAAATTTGGCTTATATCAGTTAAAGTTTGGTTTCAGAGGAGGTATATATATGAGGGGCATATCCAATTCTGAATCTGACAATAAACCGGATTAAGGATATATATGAGAGTTATATCCAAAATGTAGCCAATCTCGTTAAAATTTGGCAAAGGTATTTCCGAGCTCTATAAGATATCTAGTACCAAATATCATTGTTGTCAAATTGATATTAGGAATTTGAGAGACTTACAGACAAAATCGGATGAAATATATATATGGAAGCTAGAGCTATATCTGAACCGATTTTCAACAAATTTGATGTACTTGCTTCTAGACTGAATTTGGTCGGATGTATCAAATTTCAGGTCATTTAGACTTATATTGGCCATTTGGTGTATAATTAATCCGGAATAAGTTGCAGATATATATGGTTGCAGATATATATCCAAATTTGAACCGATTTTGACTAAATTTGGCAAATGCATTTCCGAGCACTATAAAATATCTGGTACCAAATATCATTCTTGTGGAGTGCATATTACGAATGTGAGGGACTAAAACATCAAATCGGATGAAACATATATATGGGTGCTATAGCTATATCTGAACCGATTTTCCAACCAAATTTGATGTAATTTCTTCTTCACTGAATTCGGTCGGATGTGCTAAAATTCATTTCATTTGGAGTGATATTGGCCATTTAGTGCACAATTAAGCCGAAATCGGTTGGAGATATATATGGGAGCTATATCCAAATTTGAACCGATTCTCACCAATTTCAATAGGGTTTGTCCTTGGGTCAAATAAATATTGTTTAGAAAATTTCATCTCATTTTGCACACAAGAATATATGGACAGACGGACGGATAGGCAGACGCACGGACAGACATGCATAAATCGACTTTAAGAGTAATAATTAAAAATCGTCAAAAGGGTCTATCACGCTTCCTTTTCCATTTTACAGGCAAATGCACAAGGACATAATACCCTTACAACTATATGGTGTAGGGTGTGGTGTAAAAAGTCAATGTTATGGATCTAGTGGTCCTAGGACGAAGTGCTCTTTAGAGAGTCCAAAAAAATATTTAAAAAAAAAAATACATATCTTGAGTCCTTGCAAAAATGTTTTTAGAAACTCCAAGTCCAGAGTCCTTGAGTCTTCGCCAAAAAAATATATTTTTTTAATTCAAATTTTAATCTCGGATTTATAAAAATATTTTTTTTCGAGGACTCAAGGCGCGTATTTTTTTAAATTATTTTTTCCAGGACTCCAGATTTGGAGTTTTTAAAAATATTTTTCATGGAAGCAAGACTTGGATTTTTGAAACAATTTTTGAGGAATTTAAATCTCGGATTGAAAAAAAACATTTTTTTTTTCGGTTCAAGGCGTGTATTTTTTTTAAAGTATACTTTCCAGGACTCTAGACTTGGAATTTCTAAAAATATGTTTGCAAGGACTCAAGATGTACAGTTTTTAAGCATTTTGTGAGGTCTTGGGTTTTCTTTTTTTGAGGAATTGGATTTTGAAAAATATTTTCTCTCTCTAACGAAAATTTCCTTCTCGGAAAAAAGAATTCTCTTAAAACTCCACTTTTCTCTTTTGAAAATTCTCTTAAAATATTTATATTTTTTTCTAATATTTGGTTTTTGGGTTAAAAAAAATAACATACCCTCCAAACGCCTAACTAATTTTTAACATTTGGGTTTTGGTTAAAAAGCTACATACTTCCCACTCTCACTCACCCCCAAAACTAATCCTTTAAGTCTATCACCACCACAATAAGAAAACTCCACCCCGAAATATTTATATTTCTAAATCTCCAACTTTCCTTCCTCTCTTTTTTCTCCCAACTCTCTTTTTAGACGACTCCTTTCTGTTTCCTATGCGTCATGATGGCGTTGGTGTCTTTGTCGTGGGCCCAGAACTTTGGCACGGATAGTGAAGTTCCAGCTGTCCTAAGTTACAACTCACCACTGAGACATCCAGATAGTTTGAAATCTCGTCCCTATTTCGATTTCCTCAGTACCCTGTACCGACATGATACCGAAAAGTCGAGTCTCTTCCAACCCTACATTCGTAACAGACGTAGCGTTGAGGCCATCGAACCTGTGGCGGTGGCTGCCAGTGGCGCAGCTAATGAACATCGTCAGCGTAGAGCAATTGTCTTCCGTCCATTATTTGTCTACAGACAACAAGAGATTCGGAAGCAAGAGGTCCAGGAGGCACGCAGACGTGTTTAGATCCCAAAAATCACTCTCAGCGTTAGAACAAAGACAACGAATTCGCCAAGCAACAGCAAATGCTTACTGTGTGTGATTTGGCCACAATGTGGAGTCATTTAATTGGTCATTTATTCCGAAATTTACTTGCCAAAATTTAACCCTCCAAAAAAATATCCCTAGGTCTTTTTTTCTGGGGGGCAATTCGAAATTAGTTGTTATAAATCGAAGAAAGGTCTTTTAAGAAATTTGTAAAATGTTAGCCTCTGCATGATGGCCATAATTTACTATTTATTATTATTTTTTTTAATTTTTATGAAAAAAGCAAAAAAAAAGCATTTCTATATTTTTAAAGATTTCGCAACGCACACACCTTCACCTTCATTATCGTTATGAAAAGCACCATTATTTTAACTTCTTTCTTTTAATTTAATGTTTAACAAACAAAGATCGAAAACGAAATTATAGTTTTAAGCTTTATTTTTTCCCAATTTATTGTTTTGATAATTTTTTATTGTTGTTTTTTTTTTATATATATAACAAATTTTTAGAAATTTTAATAAATTTAAAGAATTTATTAAACAAAAATGTTAAATAAAAACTTTTGTGTTTTAATGAAACTTGACCAGAATTTGGTTGGATTAAAAATAATCTTTAAAAAATAGGTTTAGTAGTCCTTGACAAAACCCTGTAAAAGAGCGATTTTACAGGTCCTGATTGTTTTTAAAAAAATAATTTTTGAAAAGTGCTCAAAAATTTCGTTAGTAGTCCTGATTATCCTTGAAAGAATACGTTTTAATAATTTTTAAAATAATCCATGAAAATTTGTTTAAAAAGTCCTGATAATCCTTGAAGGAAAATATTCAAAACTCAATTCAATAAAAAAAATTCCGCTTTAATAACCCGAGTAGCGTAAAATTCTAAGACGATTTAGCCCTGTTCGTCAAAACGAATTAAGATAGGAAGCTAAACTTTATCCCCTGGAAGATAATTATCTTTATAAGTCCACGATATCGTATAGCCCCCATATAACGGCACCCCCCGATATTCGATATTTTGATGATTTTAGCCACATTTTTCAACGGAATTATCAAAAAATTCACCGAGGAATTCCGTGTGAGTACTTTACCTCCTGGAAGATAATATATATATTTATATATATATATATATATATATATATATATATATATATATATATATATATATATATATATATATATATATATATATATATATATATATATATATATATATATATATATATATATAAATAGATAGATAGATAGTCCTGGAAACGATATATTTTAAAAAGTCCGCGCTCTCAGTCGATTTTTATAAAATATTTTTGAATATGTCCACGTTCTCAGTTCTTAAAAAATATTGTTTTAAATTCGCATTCTCTCCTAAAAATATTTGTTTTATATTCCACCATATTTTTTTTACTCAGACCTAAAACATATTTTTTAATCCATCCGTAAAGTTTTTTTCGCTTTAAGAAGACTATTTTGTTTTCGAATCCAGGCCTTGTTATTTGGCCTTGAAATAATATTTTTCTCAAAAATCAGCATTTTTTGCCTTTGAAACATTTTCACAATCCTTAGCACTTAGCCCTACATTCTCAGCATTTAAAGATAGTTTACAAAATCAGTCGTTAAAAATACTTTTTAAAAAATTGGCGTTCCAGGTGAAAGATAGTTTTAAGAAAATTAAAAAAAAAAACACATTTACTGTCCTGACAGTTTCTCATATATATCTGTTTTTAAATACAAACACAAAAAAATTGTTTACAAAATCCAAGTGCCTGATCTCTCCTGAAATATTTGTTTTAAAATCCACCATAAATTATTTTTGCTCAGCCCAAAAACATATTTTTTTTAATTCACGTTATCAGCACTATTTTTTAATTTTTTTTTTTTTTTCAAAAATCCACATTTTCAGCAGGGAAAATTAAAAAAAAAAAAATAAAGTTCCTGACCTCAGCCCTTTGTTTTTTCCAAATTCCAGCTCTTGAAAAAAATCCAAAAACCCAAATTCGTGCTCTCTTAAAGAAATAAAAAATCCAGCTTCATAGTTCTGATATCTGAAAATTCTCCTTCAAATGACAAATTTAAATTCGTTTACTAATAACAATATTTTCCTTTATTTCTCCCTCTTCCCCCAGATCTTACTCCTCGTTGCTGCTGTAATGGCCTTCATCGCCTTGTCGTGGGCACAAAACCTTGATGATTCCATTCCCTCGGTGCTGAGTCACAATTCACCCCTACGGCAACCGGCTAATCTGCAATCTCGTCCCTACATTGATTTTCTCAGCAATTTGTATAAAAACGATAAGGAAAAATCGAATTTGTATCGCAACTATCGTTCGAAACGTGAAGTCATCGCAACCGTCGAGAAACCGAAATTAGAGGAAAATGTCGTCCAACCACGCAACCGTAGAGCCATTGTCTTTCGTCCCCTCTTCGTCTATCGCCAACAGCAGGTGAGACGGCAAAAATTGGCTGCTGAACGTAAACGTCGTGTTTAAGGAGCTGGGCGAAGAACTCCGGGTCCCCAGGACTACTAAGAATTTAACTGAAAATGGCGTGCCAAATGTTCCTTCAAAATGACTTTTCTCAATTTTTTTCACAAGATTTTTTTTTATTATTCCTATATATGTATGTATGCACATGTTTGTGTGTCATTGTATTAAATTAATGTTTTTTTAATAATTTATTATAATCTTGTTATTACTAATTTTTTATATATTCCTTTTATTTATATTTTATAAATGTTTGTTGTGTCTTATTAATAAATTAATAAAATAAGAAGCAAAAATATATTGCGATTTGTGTTTGATTTAAAGGGACGAGAAGAGGTTTAGAAAGGGCGGCTTATCATATAAAAAAAAATCCGTGGGAAAAAGTGACAAAAATCTTTGAGGATTGTATAAACGGACCGATATATCTCATTTTCAATGTCATCCATTCTAGATAGTATTCAAACTATTGTGCCAAATTTCGAAGCTCTACTTCAAAAATTGTGGACTGTATCGGGATTTCAACAGACAGACGTTGGTTATTTTGAATCCTCCACCAAAGTATAGTTGGTATATTAGGTTTGTCATTCCGTTTGTTACACCTCAAAATATACATTTTAGACACCACAAAGTACATATATTTTTGATCAACACAAATTTCTATATCGATCCGTTTTCAATACTTTTGGTATTGAAAATGGGCTATATAAGTTCACGCTTAGGTATAACCCCCATATAACTGTACCTCCCTATATTCGGGCTTTTGGTGATTTTAGCGTCATTATTCACCGGAGTTGTTTAAAATTTCGTAATGACATTTCGTAATGGGTACTACAGCCTGTGCCAGCAAATTGGCTATGTAGACCCCATATATCGCTACCTCCCTATATTCGGTATTTTACCGATTAGAGGTACAATAAAAACCGAAGTTGTTTCAAATTTCGTATTTGAAGTTCCAATAGATACTACAGCCTGTACTACAGAAAATTATATTTGTAAGCCCAGGTCTTCGTATAGCCCCCACATAACAGTACTTCCCTGTATTCGGTATTTAGATGATTTTAGCTACATTTGTTTCAAATTTCGCATTTAAAGTTCCTAATAGGTACTACAGCCTTTAACAGAAAATTGCCTATGCAGGTCCAGGCTATAGCCCACATATACTGGTACCTCCCTTTTGATATTTTGATGATTTGAGCTACACTTTTTACCGGAATTGTTTCAAGTTTCGTGTTAGAATATTGAAATGACCTATGACAAAAAATGCCCACTCAGGTCCACGTCTTCGTATAGACCCCAATCTGGTATTTTTAAGATTTTAGCAGGATTTTTAACGGATTTAATTTTTAAAAAATTTCCAAATTCGTTCCAAATGGTTTAGGATATTGAAAGTGCGGATCGGCCGAACTTAGCTGTTTTTACTTGTTTTTTTTTTTCAGCCTAGGAAATACCTCTTAATGTCCAGGTAAGACCCTATAAATTGGTTTTGTCCACAAGACATTATTTGACGTCTCTAGAAAACCTTTTGAAGGGTCTTCTTTGTTCATAGATATCTGAAGAAACACCTTTTGGCAGATTGTCTACTGTCTACAGAATGCCATGGATTTTCGGTATTTTTAGGATTTTAACAGAATTCTTTAACGGATTTGTTTTCAAAATGTCCAAATTCATTCCAAATGGTGGAGGTTATTAAATGTTCGGAACAACTTCATTGTTGTTTTACTTGTTTTTTTTTTTTTTTTCAACCTAGGAAATACCTCTTAAAGTCCAGGTAAGACCCTATAAATTAGTTTTGTACACAAGACATTATTTGAGGTCTCTAGTAAACCCCTTGAAGGGTCTTCTGTGTCATAGATCTCTGAAGGAAAACCTTTTGGCAGTTGTTTGCTGCCTACAGAATGCCTTGGATTTTCTTTGACTTTGAAACGATCCTCTGTCGATATAGTAGTATATTTTAAGCAAGTAAACAAAGGCTATAGTCGTACGGGGCCGACTATGTGATAGTCTCGACATTTTCTATATTGGAAAGCCTCCTTAGGTTCAAACCCACACTATTCTACAGTTTCATATACAAGTTTGCTATAAGCATCAATAAGACGGTCAGACGTCATATTTTCGTGTATTTCGGTAATAAAAATACTACAGGTTTTAAAGAATTGTTGCTATTGTTTTCAAACAGAAGTTATGGTCCATGTAATCATCTAAATATTATCAGGTGACCCTCCAAATTTAAAGGTTTCTGTTCTGTCTTAAACCCTTTCTCCATGCAAAATTCCACGTTGGTTGGTCTATAATCGTAAACTGTAGAGCAACTTAAAAATCACGGTTCATTTCATCCCTAAATATTTTGCGATCATCTCCAAAAAAATACTTAAATTCGTACAAAATTTCGCAAAGGTCGCGCCATAATTGACTGCAACCTGATTACAAACTACATAGCTAGATTGACTCATAGAGGGCCTAGAACCAATATTTCCAGATGTTACAAACATTGTTGCCCAATGCGTTATAGGTTAAAAAATTCTATAGAACGGCCTTTAATAAAAAGAACCAATTTGAATTTGACAGCGTTACCTAAAACTCGACGTACTCTGTCGACGTTATTCACCACACAAACAAAGTAAAACACATGTTTTTATCGAAAGTTATCCAAATACGTCGGACGTACGAAATTTCAAAGTTAACCAATTTCAACATTGACAATTGACCATTTTCTTTTTTGCATGTGTTGAAAATGGGATCAAATAATAAAAACATTAAAAAACAAAAAAAAAAAACATTGGAAAGTTAACAATAGAGAGATTTTTGAAAACTATCTATTTTTACAACATTTTAAGTTGGTAGATTTGAAGATATGGACCTGACGTATTTGGACAATACGCAGGTACAACAAATTTTACCATAGTGGGGAAGTTGAATATTAATGTACGCTACGTTGGATTTTAGGTAATGCTCTGATATATACTGTCAACTCGAGACCTTTTGAATGGTCTTCTTTGTTTTGTTTTATTAACTTTGCCACAACATAAAATCTCATCTCATCTCACTACCAGCTGTCATAAACCAAAGCATACCTTAAGGCGTCAGTGATTAGCACAGTATCAACCAACAGTACTATAGAGCATTAATTAAAATGATGTATGGCTGATGGCTCAGCCAAATGGCTAGATAGGGTATATATCATTTAATACGGTCAAAACGTGCCTACTCGAAATAACGGTTTTAGACCCTAGATCTCTTTGCACCAAATCCGTTTCAGCACATTTGGAGTCGATCTAGCGATGTCCGTCTGGTTGGTGCGCACGATAACTCTCGAAGGGAGTATCCGATTTGATCCAAAATTGGTACATCGCAATATTATTGTAAAACTTAGATCGAGTTCGGAGATGGGCAATATCGATCCACTCCTTCGGGTACCTCCCCCACAAAAGGTCAAAATTTTGAATATCCATGAAGCACATATAACACGAAATTAACATCCGATTCTATTCAGACTTGGCACACCTCAATATTTTCATCAACACAAGAATTTTTATAATGCTGGTAGAGATCGGACCATTCCTTCTGGTACCTCCCCCATAAAGGGTCTAAGTGTTGAATAACCAAAACGATCATAAAATGCGAAATAAGCATCCGGTTCTCATCATATTAGTTCACTAAATTATTAGTTCTACTAAAATAAGATCTGCTGTGAAGATGGGATATAACGCTGTACTCCTGGTACCTGCCGCACAAAGGGTCAAAGTTTTGAATATTCATGAAGCTCTTATAACGCGAAATTAACATCCGATTCCATTCAGACTTGGCACACCTCAATATTTTTATCAACAAAAGATCTGTATAAAAGAGATCGGATAATTTCTTCTACTACAAAGTCAATAACCAAAACTTTCATAAAATCCGAAATAAGCATCCGGCTCTCTTCATACCTCACACATCCCATTATTTCTACTATAACAAAAGATCTGCTGTGTAGATGGGATATATCGATCCACTCCTTCTGCTACCTCCCCCACAAAGGGTTCAAGATTTTGAAAAAAAGAAGGAGAAATAAGAGAAAGCAAAATAAGCATCCAACTCTCTTCAAATTTCACAACTACAAACATTTTTGCTAACACCAAAAGGTACCGCACCCACAAGGGACCACAATTTTCAATACTTTCATCTGTTATAACTTGCAAAACAAGTCTGCGATTCTTTACAACGATACCTAAATGTTTCTCTCAACCAGAAACCTGAATATTGGATATAAATATTCGATTTTCTTGTAATTTTGACCGTACCATTATGTTTATCTGTATCTCACACATATTTTAACATTTTGTAAAAATTATCACATTTCTCATATAAAGTGAAGGAAGTAGCCAATGTAGTCCAAACCTGGCGCGTCACAATATTTATGTCATATTTATTTAGGACCTCTACGAACGAAAGGATAGTTGGCTGCCGGTATAAAGCTGTCGGCAAAACCAACTGATACTCTTTAACTTGTTTTAAAGAAAGACAGAATCCAAAATTTATCTAAAATATTTAGTACAACACAAAATTCCCACATCTATAACATTTTAAAAAGAAACACCGATTCATTTGAAAATGAAATACTCAACTGTATTATTTGAAAATTCACCATATTCTACGAAAGCCTTAAAGAATATTCTACGAATAAGTCATTAAAATAATTGTTTACAAACAATTGAGCAGATCAAAGAACAACGCATAAAAAGCAACAAATTCCCCTTTATCTATATTCCAATTAATTTACAGAACCATTAAAATGTCTGAAAATTTCCCGCAAATTTGAATTATTCCTTCTTTGAATTCCGTTCTTTTTTTTGAAACATAAATCCACCCACCTGCCATAATTTACCCGATATCCAAACAATTGAATTTGCAAGATTTTCATGGTATCATGGCTTCAGCTATTCGTCCATCATTATTTTGGCAATGGAATTAATTGAATAAAAATCTTGAAGTATATCTAAATTTAATAAGAAGGCAGACAAAAAATACGTCAGAATTGTTTATTAATAATATCCACATGCCAAAATGGGAAAAACCCCGTAGATAAGATATAAAAATATGAAAGATAATAAAATGGTTATCAAGACCACGAGGATTTTACATGTAAATATTTAATTGTTTTATTAAAAAATATATAGTTTTTCATATAATAAATTAATACAAAGCTTTTATTTATCAGACATAAATCTGGTGTCAAATAAACAAAAGAAATTGACATTAGGTTTTTAACTAAAAAACTGAGGAGCTTCAGACTTAAGGGTAATTTTTATAAGGTCTTCT